ACTCCCCCTTTTTGAACATTTGCTAATTTGCGATATTTGTAAGCATTCAAGCCCCCTTAAAAGCCATCCTGTAAGTGGATATATTTACCATGCTATGTGACGTGTTGTATCTATGGGAACCATTCTTGCTTAAATTTGGTTAAACTTCTACTGTGTAAGTATACTGTTAGTTTTGCCATTGCTGCGTATGCTCCACGTTTAAGTTCCCAATCAGATATTGTTGGGATAGTGTCTTTCTTCCAGTGTTGAGCAAAATTTATTCTCACTGTTGTAATCATATATCTCATTAAATTATGATACTTTTTTCTGAGATTATACCTAATAAGAACAGATGTGGTTTCATTTCAAATTGAAATTCCAGATTTTTCTGCATTACTTGGGCAGTAGCCTATCCCCGGCTCTAAATATGCTGGGTGATTGCATGTTCTGGACCACAACCCCTACCTTATCTGGAGTGATAGAGAAAAAGACACTCTGATCACAGGAGAAGTGGCCAACAGTTCTGTTCTGAATCATTGCCTTCCCTGCAAATCACCTGACAACATTATTTTATCTCCTCCCAACCCCTTCCCCTCAAATGATTGCCAATGGTCCCAAGCTGTGTAATTCAATAAACTGCATTTTTATCGTGCAGGATAAAATGAACACCTGAAAGATCTGGCTCTCCCCACAGCACTTTTAGTGGGGATTTATGAGAGTCCTCTCCAAGTGGTGGTTCCTGGTGCTGGGATGCACCATGATTTCTAGGTTGCCAAAACTTTATGCCAGCATTGGAAAATAGCACATGGTTCCTAGTCAATTTAAAAGAGTTCTAATAGCTCTTCCAGTTGGAACTTACTAGTGAGAATATAGATCTTGTAAGGATTCTTGCTCAAGGTCACCATTCCCCTGAACAATTAAAAAAAAAAAAAAAGAATATACTGTTGTTGCTAGGTGAGGTTCTGCTCTCTCCAGCAGCCAAAGCGGAAATGGCTTTAGAGACACAAAATCCACTGGCTGGATGGAAAGAGGCAGTCCCATAACAGGCAACTGGAGTCACTGAAGATTCCTCCTCCATATGACCTCCATGCCCCCATAGGAATTTTCTTTGGCTTTCCTGGCAAAACACTACTTTCAGGCCAGATAACCTTGACCATCTCAGCCTACTTCAGCAGGCTGGCTATGAGATGGAGGATGTGTCTTCAATGAAAAGCAAGTGGGCATCTTCAAGTTCGGGCAAGGGATCTGTATGGATGAGTCCGAAGGTTGTGAGAAGGTTCTTGGACAAAATGTCCTCAGCCAGCTCCTCCTCCTCCTAAGTCTAGTTTATCATTCCTTTGAATTGGGCAGGTGAATAGGTAGCGATGAGGGAGACTCTACAGCTCAGCCTAAAGGGAGAGGGAAAAATGGGGCAGACAGAGCCAGAAGGTTTCTTACTGTCTGACAGCACTTCGTAGGCTTCTGTAACTTCTTTGAACTTCTGTTCAGCATAATTCTTCCTATCTGGGTTTTTATCTGGGTGCCACTGCAGGGCTTTTTTCCTGTACCTACAAAGCCCCAAAAGACAAAGTGAAGGCAATGTTAGAAATCCACAGCTCAGTAACCAATAATAGACCATCAGTACAGAAGCTAACAGATTTAGAGACAATACTCTCTCTTTCTCAGAAGGCAGGACAGACTCAAGTTAATAGAGTGCACTTTGTACCACCTCCTTGCTGGCTAGCTGACTGAGAATTATCCAAGGAATACGGTGTATCCAGCCTCTTGCTGTCTGTGACATCTTCAGCATCGACTAAGTATTGTGGTTGTACTTTCCACCTGAAGGTTTAACAGTTGAACCTCAGTTGAGCCCCAATTAGAAAAATTCCAAATACTTATTTAACTGGATATCTGTTTGAGTATCCATCACCACTAGTAACCTGACACCCTTTAGGCATTAATTACAAGAATAAACTTTGTAAAATGTTAGCGCATGATGTAAAAACTGGGATTTGGGACCTTTTTTCCTAACTTTGAAACTTGGTTTACATTCCAGAATAAAACTCTTTGGCGAGAAGAATACTCAAAGAAAAGACTTACGCCTTTTTAACATCGTTGTCAGAGGCATCCCGAGGAATCTCTAAAAGCTTATAATAGTCCGGCACAGCAGCCATTGGTAGCAGAAACGTGGAAGGAAAGTTGCAGCCTCAAGGGGAACAATGTCTCTGAGCTGCTTCTGGGGCTGATCATGGCCGCACACTTGGCTGCACAGCAGAAGGTGGATGCTGTGGCAACAGATCCTGCGGGTCAAGAAGTAGAATGATGCGCCACAGAAACTGGCCATCAGCCCCCACTGACCAAAACACAGCGCCACATCAACCAGTCCAGAGAACTGGCCAAGAGAAGGCATAATTGGCTGACCAAGAATAAACTAAAATTGTTCAGAAATTTGGCTTGGGATATGCAAATTGTTACACCTTTTTCCCTCCACTAAAAAGTTTACTTTTTCATAACTGAGATAATGGGTTGGTCATGACTATGTTGCATCAGAAGATCCTTTTCATAGGATCCCCAGTTTCCACTGAGTTCTGCTAATGGATATGTCCTTGTCATGCCCAATTCCAGCTAAAATGAGCCATACATATGCACTTGTAGGCTTAATTAGATAATTATCTCATATAAGAGGAGCTGTGGCATTTTAGCTGTTTGTTCATTTATTCAATATTGCTATTATGTACAATGTTATATGATACAAATGAGGCCATGGGGCTCCAAGCTGCTGGTGGGCTACGGGGGTACTCAGAACATATATACATTGACTACCATTTTGAACAATTAGTTAAGTCTCAGGTCCCATTTGATTTCATGGCACAGACTTTTATCTGGTGGCATCAGATAAACTGTTCAGAATGTGTATACACAAATACACACACACACATACATACAACAGGAAGAAAAAAAAGATTAACTTAGTGGAGAATTTAGGTGACAGAAACCAGCAACCATCCCATTTAGTATTCTCATAATACTAGGCCATCAACCACAGTTTAGAAACCACAACTGGTGGGTTCCCACATCATGTTAAGAGTAAATAAACAATTTTATGTTTTAGCACTGTAAGTGAATCAAGCCAGTTGGAGGATTTTTGCCTTTTCTATTTTCAGTTCAGAGCTATTCTCACCTCCAGTAGATCAAGATCAGCTACACATTTAGTTAAATACAAAGCTTCACAGGATATATTGTTTTAGCCTACAGATCCCTCATTCATAAAGAAAAAAAGTTTGTGTAATAAAAGCTCATATAGAGATATAAAGTTTCCCCTTAATGATAAACCTTTTTCAATCAGATATTCAATCAGATGTTAATGATGATAAGGAATTTTAAAGCATAGTGGCTCTGCTTGCAGAGCCTGAAGCAGTACAATCCAGTCCAGTCTCTACCTTGTGGTGTTGCTGAATGGTATAAGTCAGTGTTTCTCAACCTTGGGAACTTAAGATGTGTGGACTTCAACTCCCAGAATTCCCCAGCCAGCCATGCTGGCTGGGGAAT